ATGAGTGGCGCCTGGTTCAGGACCTGAGAGCTGTAAATTATGTGGTAATCCCAGTTTATCCCGTGGTACCCAACCCAGTTACCATCCTGTCATCAGTTCAACCAGAGACAGAATGATTTTCAGTAATAGATCTCTGTAGTGTGTTTTTCTCTGTTTGAGTGCAGAAGGATAGTCAGTACATGTTTGCATTATATGGATGACATCTTGGTGGCATCTAGGAGCAGGCCTCCTGACATGTGGCAGTCCAGTTCCATGGTGTCTCTGTTTCTAGTAACTGCCTGATGGGAGGACTGATGGTGAAGTGAGCTTATCAAGGACAGTTCTAGGAGATTCAGGAAGGCATTGACATTGGAGAGATGCAATTCGAATGACATGTGAAGGCCCACTAAGTTGATGGCATTTCTTGTCAGGTTGTGTTGGTTCATTGTAGTGAACACCTGCCTTATGTGCTTGTCATGTGTGGTTGCATCCTTTCCATACTGTCACCAGGTTAACATATACGGCAACTCCAGGGCAGACAGCCAGGATGGTGGGCATGTTTGTCTGGAAGAAGCAATGTGCCAGCTCAACCCGAACAGGATAAGAGTGAACCGGAACATCCCAATGTGCATCACAAATGCAGTGAGCCAGTGGAAGGTCATGTTGGATTCACGCAGACGTATTGGACTAGCAATGAATCAAAGCTCACTTCTTAATGATAAGGAGGTGACTTAAGATCCCAATCGTGGAGGGGCAAGTTATACCACAGTAGGGGCAAGTTGTAATGCTTGGGAGAGGGTGTCAAAACCCAGGGTTGGATTATGTTTCCTTTGTTGGAGCCTCCCAGATGCCTCATTGATCCTCAAAGCAAGTCCTACAGGCTCTAATTTAATTGTATCTTGATTATTGTCCAGTCATTTGGTCAAGTGCTGCAAAGAAAGACCTAGTTAAGCTGCAGCTGGCCCAGAACAAAGCGGGTACGTCTTGCTCTTCATTGTAATCAGAGGGCTAATATTCATACTATGCATACCAGTCTCTCTTGGCTAAGAGTTGAGGAAAGACTGACTGCATCACTTCTTCTTTTCACAGTTCCCAGGTCCAACACAAATTCAAGGAAACGTACAGTATTATACAGAGCCATGAGTGCATGGAACTCCCTTCCATCTCATATAGCTTAAGTAAACAGCAAACCTGGTTTAAAAAACAAATAAAGCAACACCTCACAGCACGACTCTCCCCCATGTGACCTACTTGTTGTGTGTATGTACTGACATGTATGTGTAACTGATAAATAAATAAAAGTACTGATGCCAATGCTTTCAATGTAAAACTGCAACATTAATCAAACCCAAAACACCCTGAAATACATGTTTTTTTAAATGTATGTAAATTGTAAAGCATTTTGTCTGTAATGTATTTTTCGTAATGTGTCAGACCCCAGTAAGACTAGCTGTCGCCATTTTCTGCAATGACCTTAGCGATCACTGTTTTACAGTAATGGCTGCTCAGTGAAATGACCTGTCCTGATTTGTCAGACACTTGCTAAAAAACTTTAATGAGCAAGCCTTCCTTCATGACCTGGCCTCTGTAAATTGGTATAGAATCAGCATGATCCCCTCTGTCGAAGACGCTTGGACCTGCTTTTTTTAATATTATTAGTGGTTTGTTAACAAACACACAGGAGCAGGCATAGGACTTGCAGCCCAGAAAATGAGAATTAAAAACAGGTTCAGCCCCTGGTTCGACCGTGATCTGGCAGAGTTACTCCACCTCAAGAATTCCATTTGGCGAAAGAATTGGCACACGCATACTCAGGCTGACTGGCTCTCGTTCAGGCAAATGAGAAATAAGTGCACTCAGGCTATCCGGAAGTCCAAAGTTAGTTACTTTAAGGAGCAGTTCTCTCTCTGTTGGTCTAACCCCAAGAAGTTCTGGAAAACGGTTAAAGACCTGGAGAATAAACCCTCCTCCTCACAGCTGCCCATGTCCCTTAATGTTGATGAAGTGTTACTGACACGGAGTCAGTCACAAATACATTAAGGCTGAGCTCTTTAATCACCACTTCATTAAGTCAGGATTCCTATTTGACTCAGCCATGCCTCCTTGACCGTCCAACATTTCCTCATCTCCCACCCCTTCTAATGCGACTAGCCCCGATGCGCCTCCCTCTTTTTCCCCTGCCCGGCTACAAAGTTTCTCCCTACAGGCGGTCACTGAGTCCGAGGTGCTAAAGGAGCTCCTTAAACTTGACCCCAAAAAACCATCTGGTTCAGATTGTTTGGACCCTTTCTTCTTTAAGGTTGCTGCCCCTATCATCGCCAAGCCTATCTGACCTTTTTACCCTGTCTCTCCTCTCTGGGGAGGTTCCCATTGCTTGGAAGGCACCCACGGTGTGTGGAGATCAAGCTGATCCTGTTATAGGCCAATTTCTATTTTGCCCTGTTAATCAAAAGTGTTGGAAAAACTTGTCAATAATCAACTGACTGGCTTTCTTGATGTCTATAGTATTCTCTCTGGTATGCAATCTGGTTTCCGCTCAGGTTATGGATGTCACTGCAACCTTAAAGGTCCTAAATAATGTCACCATTGCCCTTGATTCTAAGCAATGTTGTGCTGCTATTTTTATTGACTTTGCAAAAGCTTTTGATACGGTAGACCATTCCATTCTTGTGTGCCGGCTAAGGAGTATTGGTGTCTCTGAGGGGTCTTTGGCCTGGTTTGCTAACTACCTCTCTCAAAGAGTGCAGTGTATAAAGTCAGAACATCTGCTGTCTCAGCCACTGCCTGTCACCAAGGGAGTACCCCAAGGCTTGATCCTAGGCCCCACGCTCTTCTCAATTTACATCAACAACATAGCTCAGGCAGTAGGAAGCTCTCTCATCCATTTATATGCAGATGATAGTCCTATACTCAGCTGGCCCCTCCCTGGATTTTGTGTTAAACGTTCTACAACAAAGCTTTCTTAATGTCCAACAAGCTTTCTCTGCCCTTAATCTTGTTCTGAACACCTCCAAAACAAAGGTAATGTGGTTTGGTAAGAAGAATGCCCCTCTCCCCACCGGTGTGATTACTACCTCTGAGGGTTTGGAGCTTGAGGTAGTCACCTCATACAAGTACTTGGGTGTGTGGCTAAACGGTACACTGTCCTTCTCTTAGCACATATCAAAGCTGCAGGCTATGGTTAAATCTAGACTTGGTTTCCTCTTTCACCCCAGCTGCCAAACTAACCCTGATTCAGATGACCATCCTACCCATGCTAGATTACGAAGACGTAATTTATAGGCAAGTAAGGGTGCTCTCGAGCGGCTAGATGTTCTTTACCATTCGGCCATCAGATTTGCCACCAATGCTCCTTATAGGACACATCACTCACTCTATAATCCTCTGTAAACTGGTAATCTCTGTATACCCGTTGCAAGACCCACTGATTGATGCTTATTTATAAAACCCTCTTAGGCCTCACTCCCCCCTATCTGAGATACCCTACTGCAGCCCTCATCCTCCACATACAACACCCGTTCTGCCAGTCACATTCTGTTAAAGGTCCCCAAAGCACACACATCCATGGGTCACTCCTCTTTTCAGTTCGCTGCAGCTAGCCACTGGAACAAGCTGCAAAAAACACTCAAACTGGACAGTTTTATCTCCATCTCTTCATTCAAAGACTCAATCATGGACATTCTTACTGACAGTTGTGGCTGCTTCGCGTGATGTATTGTTGTCTCTACCTTCTTGCCCTTTGTGCTGTTGTCTGTGTCTAGTAATGTTTGTACCATGTTGTGCTGCTGCCATGTTGTATTGCTACCATGTTGTTGTCATGTTGTGTTGCTGCCATGCTATGTTGTCTTGTCATGATGTGTGTTTTGTCCTATATTTATATTTTATTTTTAATCCCAGCCCCTATTCCTGCAGGAGGCCTTTTGCCTTTTGGTAGGCCATTATTGTAAATAAGAATTGGTTCTTAACTGACTTGCCTAGTTAAATAAAGGTTCAATAAAAATAATAAAAAATATAAAAAAGGCGTTGGCTAATGGGGATCCTAATAAATCAAATCAAAGAGGCTTGTGACTTGGAATACTTTGTGTTGCCATGCCAAGTATTCTGCTGCCTTTTTATGTATCCAGACAAAGGTTGAGTGTATATAGTGGGCATATTGGATTCCTAACATAATCTTGAGTACAGGGCATAAGTGCAGTACACAAATCAGAAACATTTCTCATTTAAAACGTGTACATACACTGAGTATACCAAACATTAGGAACACCTTCCTAATATTGAATCGTACCCCCTTTTGCCCTCAGAACAGCCTCAATTTGTCAGGGCATGGACTCTACAAGATGTTGAAAGCGTTCCACAGGGATGCTGGCCCATGTTGACTCCACAGTTGTGTATTTCTTTTAGGAGCTAAAAAACTGGCCAGAAACTAAAGGCATCAGGGCAATGCACAGATGGGTGAGAGATGGGATTGGAGTGAGGCCCTACTCCAGGTAGTGTGTGCATAACTGTTTGACGTAACAGCATATTTATTAGCTTGAAAATGATATGCACATAATTATTAATACAAAACTGATTGTAATACAGCATTACACTTGTCTCTTGGAATATAAAATGATGTGCTCTATATCCAGTGCTTGACTTGGGCAGGAGCTCACTGGAGCTGAGTACCATCACCTCACATTTTCTACTGCTTGAGCTCCTGTCCTATAGAATATTAGCTCAAAATCAGTGAGCCCAAAACAAAGAAAATCTGTAAAATTGTAGAACACATAAAGCCGCTGCAGGAAAAGATATGAGTACTGTACTCTCATATCACTTGAACAAAAACAAAAAATCTTCCTGGAAACAATTTTATTACATCCAGTAGAGCAGTACAATACCTCACATTCAATTAGTCATGTCATTCACAATTTTACATGTAAATACAAAGTCTTGGAATGCTCAACCGGCTCTAGTATAAATAATACTCTTTAAATTCAGATCATGGATTTTTCACCTGATGAGACCAATATCCATAACATGTCCTAAAATCCTGGATCCCAGGAAATTGTTTGCCGAGTCTCAGTGTCTTCGTAGCACACCATTTCATCTCCCGGTCTGAACTCTATGTCCTGATCCACAGAGAGGCCACACTCCATCCCTGTCTTCACCACCTGGACATCATCTTTGTGGTGCTTCAGTGCTGTCAAGGAGCCTGCAGGAAATACAAGACATCACTTCACCATACGGAACATATTTTTCACTGAATCAAGAATAAGTATAGTTTAGATATGCTGATGCGCCTAAAAGGCTTCTATGGAATGAGGTGCTCATTTAGGTAAAATCCTATTTCATAAATGAAAAGGTTAGATAGTTAGATGTATTTGATCATTTAAAACACAATACAACCACAAAAACAATTTTGCAAAACGTATTACCATCGTTGTCCTCTTAAATAAATGGCTCAAAAAATGTACAAACATAACATAGGCTACACCGTAGACCTAGCCTACTAGGCATACTTGGGTTACAGATCTAATAATAATTAATACATTTTGGAACTTGTATAGCGCTTTTCAAAGAATCTCAAATCTAAAAACAGACAAAAAATAGAAATGAGACAAAGTCCCTGAACAGTTCCTGAACTTCCTCAGCTACCTCTGGACACAGCATGCAATCCTTGGTGTAATACTTCCAAACTGTTTGGAATCCAATAATGTGGCTTTTTGTTTCATCTGTTTGGAAGTATTACACCTAACAAGCCCAAATATTGACTTTTCATCACGATCCTGCAAGTCTGAGAGTCCACAGGATATAGTGATCAAACCCTAGAGCAGCCAAAACCCCCCAAAAGACAACAAAATGCAACAGAAAAACACTTAAAAATAATACAAATATGTACAATATTTACAGAGCTCTCTGCCTAGGCTACAGCGCCATGGCAACCATGGAACCGGAGGTGTTGGCATCTTTTCTTTTTTTATGTATTCAAAAGTATCAGCTAAATCTTGAACCTCAGTAAGAATCCCTGATGAGTGACATGCCCTTTAGCTATTTGGCATGGTAGTAGGTCTTCACACTATCTGGCTTACCCTCCCAGATGACGTCTCGGCCTCGGACCAGTCGGAACTTCATCTTTCTATCTAGCTGACCCTTCTGAACTCTACAGCCGGCGACGGACACCTTCTTCTTCCCCACAGTCACGTCAAACATGGCTAGGACAGACGCCTCTCCTGGAAAGAGAAGACGAAGAAGAATACTTTATTAATCCATACGAGACAGAAATTGGTCTTCTGCTGTACCTAAACCCTCCAAAATACACAAACACACATTAGGTTGGAGAGGCTGGAGCAGAGGCCAGCCACAATGCAGTGCCCAATGAGCAGTTTAAGGGGTTAAGTTATTTGCTCAAGGAAGGCACCTGAGATCACTACCACCAGATTTTCTTTCCTCCCGTCAGCATTGGGATTCAAAACAGTAACCCAAACGGTGTGAGATGCAAACAATACATTAGGGTTTCTTGCACAGTCTATTCCCAGTTTTTGTGAAAATAAGACATTTATCCAGTTTGTTTTTAAACAGCATGCAAACCAGAAAACAAAGCAACTAACACCACCGATATAAAGGTATTCATTTTCCAACTGATTGCGGTCAAATAGACATCCTTGCATGATTCACTATTTCTTCTAAAATAAGTTGAAATGGGAAGAACTATGTTCGGTTTACAACTGCACAGGATCCCAAAAAATAACAGAAAATTAGATTTTTCAATTCAAAGAACAAAATAAAAATGTCCTGAACTGAATTATTCAGAATTAAATTAATCTGGTTGGAGGCAAGTGATTCTTGTTAACTGTATAATTTACCTCACCTGTGTAAGTCGCAGGTGCCTACACGGTAAAAATAGCCATTTAACACGTTTTGAAAGAGAAAACTGAACATTCTGCTCCATTGCAAAAGTGCCAATATATTTGACCACTACTGCATGTCATTTTTGACAATTACTATGTCGTGTGTACGTTTATTGTTTCGACGTATCCCAGGACTCCCAAGAAAACACAGCCAATTGTTACCGAGTGGACTATCCTGATTTATTAAATTAATTCAATGAAAATACCACACACACCGATCACATTCTCCTTTACAGAAGGAGGGAGTTTCCTGCTCAGCTCGTCCTTTAGGTCATCGATGAGTTTGTAGATAACTTTGTGCATCTTTAGTATAATGCCTTTCTTAGTGGCCATCTGCTGAATGGACTTATCGACACCCACATTGAAGCCGTATATGGTGCCTGGTCATTGGAAGAAATAGCAAGTGTTACGATAACGATAAACAAAACATTTGTCAACATCAAATAAAAAAAAGGTCATAAAACATTAATTTACTAATAATAATAGTAAGACTTATTTTCATTTTCAAAAGTGTAAATATAGGGGATATTATAAAACAGTAAAATAACAGTAAAGCAGACAGATCAAGGGGATACAAGAGCATTAAACAATGGAACAATGTGAGGAAACTTGAGGGAAATTATATTTAGATTATATTTAACTGGTTAAAACATAGCCCTTTACACTTGTAGCCGGGTTGAAATTGGCACATCTGGGCACTGATAAGCGCCTAAATTGGAACGCAGTGGCTGTATAGTAACATGCTATACATGACGTCAGAGCTCAGGTTCCGCTTCACAGCGCTGTATTGGTTTTGACTGACAGCCATTCTGAACATGAGCACTGCACCTGAAGTTGTTGCCCCATCCCTCCCGCTAATTGGGCAACTTTTGGAAAACAAATATTACCACTGATGTCATACAAGCAAGCCAAACACCCGTGAGTCCAAATGCGCACTTCACATTTCCATATCATATATATTTATGATCACTATGTTTGATGTACAGTTACAAGTTTCCATGGCGTCATACCCTGGGTTGTTCTGAACAGAATGAGCCGGTTTGTTTATTGTGAAGAAAATTTGCTGCGTAACACACACCTGAATGCACGCATGACTCCTATCTATGCGCACCAAAATTAGGATCTGTTTCTCTGAATTGCCTTGTGAAAGCCTAACACTAAGATCGTATTTTATAACTTAGCTAGTCAGGTTTGCTTTCGGTGATTTAAAATTTTTTACGTTTTTTGGATTGTGTAAACAGTAATTGTGTGACGGCAGGGATGCAGGGTTGTGTTCCAAACAAAACAACAAGTATGCTTGCTCTAGTTCTTCAATGGCACAGCTAGAAGAGCTAAAAAAAAAAAAGCACCTTCTAGCTGAATACTCATGAAAGTGCATTGAAATTACTTAGGAACTCTGCACACTTTGGAGAAGTGTGTGGCCACTTGGAAACACCAGTTAGTCCTCTCACTCTAACCTTTGTCATTTTATTGTCTTATGTTGCACCTACTCCACAATTTCAATGAATATTCTTATTATGTTACTGAATGTATCCTGAGTATTTTCTGCTTTCGTTATTGGCAAATGCTGTGAAAAGTACAGTAAATGTAAAATACACATACAATCAACAGTGTAATGTTTGGATTCAGTCTTTGGTCAGGTGAACTGTTATGTCCTCAACTTTGGTCTAATAATTTCCCCATAATTGCCAAACTGTTCCCTTTCAATTGCTACCATGCTTATACCATTCATATGTATTCTATAAGAAACACTTCAATTTAGCCCTATCCATATAGGCTAATTCCCACAAGTGTAAAGGGTTAAAATCATTACAAAGAAAGTTCGCTGAAGTGAAAGTAAACCAGATGTGTTTTAAGTTTTGAGTATTGGAAAAAGTTGATGATAATAATGCTTAGTTAGAATGTACTCATGGGGCATACTACTATCGCATTGATGCTGGCATTGTATTCCTCTATTGAGACCAAACATCTCCCTTTTCAGTGACATGGTGTGATGTGTAGAGGATGCACCTGAGAAGGTCTCGGCCAGGTTGAGATCGTTCTCGGAGACATCTCCGATGCCAAAGTGGACCACCTCCATCTGGCACTGGTCATGCGCATCGTAGCTCTCCAAGATGTTCAGGATGGCCTCGACAGAGCCATCCACATCACCTGCAATGACAACAGACAAGTCGGCATGAAATGGCATATATTCATGGCATTATTTTGCAATTTTTTTTTTTTAGATACATTTAGTTATTTCATGAACATAAATATTAAAATATTAATTTAATTAGGAGTATTTATTTCAAGATCAAACTATTATGTTGTCTAGCCATGTCATTGAGTTATTCAGATGTATTCATTCATTTCCCTATTCATTTATCTATTAGTCTGTGGTACTCCACCTTTGACAATGAGTGGTAGGGAGAGCTCTTGGGACTCCAACTTCTCGCTGGGGCCGCATGGCCATGAGCTTTTTGTTGGCCTTGTACAGAGCAGACTTCCTTTGCCTCCAGCTGAGGTGGGCCAGGGGCTCTCGCTCCTTCTTGTAGCTCTCTTGGTGCTCCCGTTGCTTTACCTCAATGGCTTGCATGTCCTCCTTCAGTTTGTCCTGTTCCTCCTGGTAGCACCGCCAGTCCACCACCTCCCTTGCTCTTTTCTATAGTTGAGTGGATAAAGACAGATAGAATGGGGTAATATGGTGTTACACAACAGAAACAAGTAAACAGACAAGACAAAAATACACAGTACCAATCAAAAGGTTGGACACACCTACTAATTCCAGGGTTTTTCTTTATTTTTACTATTTTCTACATTGTATAATAGTAGAAGACATCCAAACTATGAAATGACACATATGGAATCATGTAGTAAGCAAAAAAGTGCTATTCTTCAAATAGCCACCCTTTGCTTTGCACACTCTTGGCATTCTCTCAACCAGCTTCATCTGGAATGCTTTTCCAACAGTCTTGAAGGAGTTCCCACATATGCTGAGCACTTGTTGGCTGCTTTTCCTTCACTCTGCGGTCCGATTCATCCCAAACCATCTCAAATTGTGGAGGCCAGGTCATCTGATGCAGCACTCCATCACTCTCCTTCTTGGTAAAATAGCCCTTACACAGCCTGGAGGTGTATTGGGTCATTGTCCTGTTGAAAAACAAATGATAGTCCCACTAAGCCCAAACCAGATGGGATGACGTATCGCTGCAGAATGCTGTGGTAGCCATGCTGGTTAAGTGTGCCTTGAATTCTAAATAAATCACAGACAGTGTCACCAGCAAAGCACCCCCACACCATAACAACTCCTCCATGCTTTATGGTGGGAAATACACATGCGGAGATCATCCGTTCACCCACACCGCGTCTCACAAAGCCACGGCGGTTGGAACCAAAAATCTCCAATTTGGACTCCAGACCAAAGGACAAATTTCCACTGGTCTAATGTCCATTGCTCGTGTTTCCTGGCCCAAGCAAGTCCTTTAGTAGTGGTTTCTTTGCAGCAATTCGACCATGAAGGCCTGATTCACACAGTCTCCTCTGAACAGTTGATGTTGAGATGTGTCTGTTACTTGAACTCTGTGAAGCGTTTATTTGGGCTGCAATCCCTGAGGCTGGTAACTCTAATGAACTTATCCTCTGCAGCAGAGGTAACTATGGGTCTTCCATTCCTGTGGCGGTCCTCATGAGAGCCAGTTTCATCATAGCGTTTGATGGTTTTTGCGATTGTACTTGAAGAAACTTCTTGAAGTTCTTGAAATGTTCCGTATTGACTGACCTTCATGTCTTAAAGTAATGATGGACTGTCGTTTCTCTTTGCTTATTTGAGCTGTTCTTGCCATAATATGGACATGGTCTTTTACCAAATAGGGCTATCTTCTGTATACCCACCCTACCTTGTCACAACACAACTGATTGGCTCAAACGCACTAAGGAAAGAAATTCCACAAATTAACTTTTAAGAAGGCACAGCTGTTAATTGAAATGCATTCCAGGTAACTACCTCATGAAGCTGGTTGAGAGAATGCTGTCAAGGCAAAGGGTGGCTATTTGAAGAATCTCAAATATAAAATATATTTTGATTTGTTTAACACTTTTTTGGTTACTACATGATTCCATATGTGTTATTTCATAGTTGTGATGTCTTCACTATTATTCTACAATGTAAAAAATAGTAAAAATAAAGAAAAACCTTTGAATGAGTAGGTGTGTCCAAACTTTTGACTGATAGTGTAACTCAGAGCCCAACCGTGACTATGGGCCGAGATATGCATGCAAAACTTGTAAATCAATTCATGAAGTCTAAATTTGGGCATTACCAGTAATCAGTAAGGAAAGACAATGTTGTATCAGAGTATGATGGCTAGTCTTATGTTTTATGCTACTGTGTGCAGAGGAAACATCAACATTACACGGTGATAAACTAAACTTAGTTGAATGCACTAACTAAGGCAGAAAGAAAAAGCAGTTACGCGGCATATCTAAAACTAGCGAATTAGATTGAGATTAATTTCTCTCCCTAGCCAGCCGGCTAACGTCAGTTTACCGGCGAAAAAGCTAGGGGTAAACAAATAATGCAAATCACTTGTTGTTGTGACAGCGAAGTATGTTAATAACGACACGTGAAACTGATGAAACCGTTTATTGAAACGACCAAAAAGTGTCAGTAGTTTGCTTAGGCTAATTACATGGGAGAACACTACGTCTGTACTCTACTCTGGGGCATGGTCACGCTAAGCCACGCCCGTGTGTTATCTATAGTGACCTGTGACTGCACAGACAGCACGGTTTGGAAAGATTAGTTACCCGGAGTGTAACTCAGTCTATGAGTGGGCGCTCCGCACCATACGGGGGCGCTATGCCCTAGGGGTTTCCCATGACCTACGGCAGAAACGCCTCCTGATGAAGCAACAATTATGCACCCACCGGCCAAGCCAATGGGAGCAAGGTGCCCTCTCCGAGGGACCGTTCCTCATCTGCCTCCGAGCTATTTATCTTACGCGAGACTAGAGAGGGTCGGCAGGGGCCTTACGTCGATGGGGCTCCGCTCCATCATAGAACTGGAGTTCACTGGTAATACTCGTTCTAATCGTGGAGCTCCGCCCCTAGGGGAGCTATCCTAGTGGTTTAAGGCGGGAGCGAAACGCTCCAAAAATGTATCCCTGCCGCGCCGCACTTCTTCCCCTTAAAAAAATGAAACTAAGGTCAACCTAAGATGGCTGCAAACCAATTCCGCAGTTACTGCAACTAAAACCATCGGGCGTCCCCATATACCGCGTCTCGGTTTATAGACCCGCCCATCTAGCTCAATGGCAATGCAATGGCCTAGTGGGAAGATCATCAGAATAAGAAGCCTCTCATCTGTACTAGCAGCTAGCCGTTGGCCCAATATTCTGTGACCACATATCGTCCACTTGGAATGACATAAAATGTCACTCCCTTAGTGTCCAATAAACCGCCTTACTCACAATGAAACCAGAGATTAGTAGGCAGGAAAACTATACCAGTCATACTAACTGAAAATCAATGAGACCTCACATTCTGTCAATCATAATGTCTCGACAATACTGGACACTGATCAGTCAGGAGACATGCCACAAAGGTATGCCTTTTATCCAAGGCGGACCTGACTAGAGACCTGTCATCGTCCTGCTTCTCTCTCCTCCAGCCAAGATCTCCTTCAGCTATGCTGAGTGCAATCGCGCCATAAGAGTTAAAAAGCACTATCCAAAAACATGTGTTTCTCACTGAAACCTGCTAGTCAGGAGTCATGCCAAAAATAGTCCTTTCGTCAGAAGCGGACCTGATAGAGACCCGGTCTCTACAGTCCTGCATTCCTCTCCATTTTAGATAGTTCCCTTCAGCCACGCTGAGTTACAGACTGAGCCAAAGAGTTAGAAGACATATCCAAGAGATAGAAACGGATAAATGGAGACGGTGTTGACCATGACGCCGCTCTACATATATCCTCTACCCCTGTTCCTCTGAAAAGGGGCAGTTAGAAGCTGCTACTCCACAAGTGGAGTGAGCTCTGATACCCTGAGGCAATTGTCGCCCCCGCTGCCTCGTAAGCTGTCTCAATGCTTTCACAAAGCCAATGAGACAGACCGCTGTTTCCGAAAGTGGTCTCCTTAGTGCAGCCGCACCGTGACACACAAACAGCTGAGGCGATTACCTAATCGCTGCTGTGCGCTCGACGTAACACGCCAAGGCGCGTACCGGGCACAGGCGATGGAGCCTTTCCTCACTCCTCTCTCTATGAGGAGGAGGAGAAAAAGCCCACAGCTCCACGGTCTGTGATCTATATGAACTCCTAATAACCTTCGGCACAAATGCCGGGTTAGGACGTAACACCGCTCTGCTCAGATCGCCATTAATGGCTAGGCAGTCGGGTCTCGTCGAAAGAGCACACAAATCACTAACACGCTTAGCCGTAGTCAAAGCGAGCAACAGTGCCGTCTTCATAGACAGCATCTTGAGGGGTATTTGATTCAATGGCTCGAACTGCGACTTACATAGCGCTTCGAGTACCAAAGCCAAATCCCACTGAGGAAGCGTGGCTCTAGGTGTTGGCCTAAGCCGCCGCGTTCCTAAAAGGAAACGTTTCACTAGAGCAGGGGTATTCAACAAAATTTAAAAAAGGTCCAGTTAGAGAAAATGTTTTGAAGCAAAGGTCCAGAAGATCATAATGTCTAACAATTTAGTGGTATATATATTTAAGTAGCCTAGTAGTTCTGAATGTAATCAATAACTGACCGTCTAATCAAATTAATTCAGTACAATTCAAAAACTTGTTGACAATATTTATTATCACGAAACATAGAACTGAACATTAGGGTTGTCCTCGACTAAAGAAATTCTTAGTCGACTAACACTTATATGAGTTTGTCGACTAATCAATTAGTTGATTTAATCGACAGAGCTGTGCAAGACTAGAAAAGCGCAATATAAATGTAGTTAATTAACCATCTGTAAAACTGAGTTTCTCCGAAATTAATCCTGCAAAAGCACCACTTTAAATCTCGTGTTCACCAGAAATGTTCTCATAAGTTACTTGGAAATGAGTAATTAAGCATGAATAAGCATAAAAAATGACTTATCGACTAAAGAAATCTTAGTCGACTAAGACCAAAACGACCGATTAGTCGACTAATCGACTAAGAGGGGCAGCCCTACTGAACATATATGTATGACTGTAGATATGTACAATGTGCTCTCATTAATTAACTAAATAAAACTAGGGCTGCATGTCAAAATAAGAGAAAATAAATAAAATGTGAAAATTGTGCATTTTCAAAAAAAGTGCTTAACTTCAGAAAAATAATATAAAGGGAGGAAAAGTTTGAATTTCCCCTTTTCTGTTTCACATCTTGACTCAACAGTCTCAACCAATTTTACAAATAATAAATCTCAACAGATCTTAACAATTGAACAGTTTTAGAGTATCACTTTCTTCCCCTCATATCCCACTCCACCATGTTTTTGCTCAGTGAGAGAATTGAGCTTTAGCCTGTCTTGCCAGAATTTTAAACCTGGGCTTGAATGGAGTCAGGGCCATTCTCATACACATGTGAAGGTGCTCATTGGTGAGCCTGGAACGATATTTAGTTTTAATTATGTTCATTGTGGAGAAAGCTGCCTCGCAGTTGTATGTGGAGCCAA